GGGTATGGATGTGAAGAAACCGGAAAGGTCCTGAGACACCAGGTGGATGTATTCGGTGGGCTCTTCATGTGATAGCGCATCCCAAAGCTGCTGGACTAGCTCCTGAACCGAAAGCTGACCTGTTACGTCTGGAAAGGTGACTTTGGTGAGTTCAAAGATGAGGGCGCCGAAGACCGTGAGGAGGGGAAAGAAATACTCGGTCTCGCTTTTAGCCAGTCCTTGGTCGGTTTGGGAAGGATGCGAGCTGTGGGCAGCGGTGCCTGGAGTCGAAGTCCCCAAGCGTAACGCTGTTGTAGGAGAGCAGGTATCGTAGTGACAACTTCAGAGCGAAAAGACGCTGCAGACTCACGACATGTGCAAAATGTCTTGTGCATCAGTGTGGCAAATAACGAAGGATAAATCACATGAGCACGCGAAGGGAAATGATCCGCTGGGATTACAACCCACGATGACAGAGAAACCATAGTACGCTGTAGTGACGCGGAAGTCCAGTGCGCGTGGTCTTGAACGTTGGAGCGATGTGCATCGATCAACTCCGTCAGAACAGGTTGAAAATCTGTGAGGAAACTGGATCCATGTACATGCCAGCGACAAGCCAGTTTACGAAGCTGCGTGGTGAAACGCTGATGAAGCATGTCGACATCGCCAAAATACTGATCCTTCATGGACGCGGTCATGTCAATGTCAAGGAGTCGAAGTCCCCGTTATAGAAATGAATTTTATGGTCTAAGGTAAAATTAAAAATATTATATGTATTCCTTCGATTTTGTGAAATGATTATGGGTTGGCGAGGTTCTAACACTTGATTAACTAGTTTTAGGTCGGTGTTACTCACAACATATTATTTTAAAATATTAATATTTATATTAATATATATATAAGTATTTTTTTTTTCCACATCCAATGAAATAATATTGAAACCCATTTCATAAGAAAATGATAAATTTTTTTGATAATATAATATGTAATGATTATTTAAGGATATATATAATTTGTTGTTGATGGAATAATTGATGAATGAATTAATATATTAATAAATAGATTATAGGATGGAAGATATGTATATGTTTATGAAATAGTGCTTAAATTAATTATTTTAATTATTATATTTGATATTTAATAATGATTTATTTTAAATAATTATTTAGATAATTAATTTATATTGAATATATTTAAATATTTATATTATTAGTTTAATGATTTTTCTATATTGAATTTGAATTATATTTTTGGATTTCGGTTATTTTCGTTTATAAATTTTAGTATTTTTGTTGTTTTGTGTTCATTTTGGCGATTTATATATATATATGTATATATATTGTTGGAAATCGTTATATTTTGCAAGTTTAATAATTCGGGGGGAATTATGATTTTAAGGAATATTTTTTTTCTATTGGAGTTTCTTTATATTTAATGCGGGACTAATAATAATTTGTAGTTTGTCCGAATCATTAATTTATTTGGTTTTTAAACCGACTAATTAGAAATGAATAAATGCTAAGGAAGGACTAGAAAGAAATGAATCTTAGTTAAATTTATCTTGGCTTGAGGGACGGGTTCCGTGCCGAGTAAGTGAGATTTTGTTTTTTGGGCATAAAATTCGAGAGTATAAAAATAGATTATAAAATAGAATTTATTTGATAGTAAGAGTAAAATATTATTGTTATTTGTTTGTTATTTTTTTATTTTTATTTTTTTTGTATTTTTTTTTTTATATATTAAATTCATGTTTTTTGCCCGTAATTTATCCACTATTTTCGAAAATATTACGAAGGGGTTTTCCGGGCAATACAAAAATACTAATTATATAAATATAATTATTTTAAATAAATTATACTAATGAATAATATCGGAGATCGTTACAGCAAATTACATAAGAACGATACACTAGAGGATTACAGCAAGTTGCGCTAACGAGTTATATGAAAGATTGATTGAGCGATATATATATATATAAATGGGATATATATTTACAGCAAACTACATAAAAATGATACACTAGAGGATTACAGCAAGTTGCGCTAACGAGTTATATGAAAGATTGATTGAGCGAGTTATATATATAAATGGGATATATTTATATATATATTTATGAATTAGATTCACGAGTTATATAAGAGATTGTTTAAACGAAATATATAAGGCAAATTTCATAAGATTGTTCAAGCAGATTGTATATGTAATGTTAATAAGAATGATATAGAGGTGTTTGATGATTTTTAGATCGAATAACAGAATGAAATATATTTATATATAATAAAAACAAAACAAAACACTACTTAATATATATGAATTATAATATATATATAATATAACATATAAGCAAGTATATTTTTTCGAATATATATAGATTCAATTGATAGAATTAAGTAGCATATATATATATATATTGGATTTATTATATAAATATGGTGTATTTAGCAAAATCCGGTAAATAGAGATTTTATTTAGGATGTAGGAGGCAGTAAAGAACACTTATAAACCCTATTAGGAAAACAATAAACATAATATAAAGGATTAGGGGGAACTATTAAAAAATATGGAAGGAATATGCAAAATAAATAATATAAATTAAAAAAAATGAAAATAATAATAATAATAAATAGAAAATATATAAAGAAAACCTAAGAAAATTAAACCAAGGTAAATCGTGCATAACGGGAAAGAAAATCATATTATAATATATGATTAAAACGCAAAAATCTTATGAAATTTCGAGGATGGAATATAATATGGGGCAGAATATTCTTGTATATTTCGTGCTAGATTAAGGAATAAACCAATATAATTTGGATGATAATATATATATATATATAAAAAACAAAAATTTAATATTACATAATTATTTGACACATATTATTCGTGCGCAGGACTAAGGCTTATATATATATCATGTATCGTGCCCCAAATAAAAATTTCTTAGGTGTTAAGAACCGGGCAGAACATATCTTTCAATTTGCGCGGAATAAGTATCTTGAAGATAATATAAATAATACCTAATATTACACATTTAGCAATATTGATTTTTCAAATTTTATATCGAATATATTATTTGATATTTCTATTCATATATGAAATATCTGATAAAATAACGTCCAACCTTGTGGAATATGATATCCATAATTTCAATTAAAGGAATAACAAAATATTTAAGGTCAACTCGTACCATCTCACACAAAGAGATTAACAAAGACACATCCTCAATTTTTAGGATCGATCACGCCGATCTATGTATAGGGTTGATCTATGACCGCAAAAAAATAAGAAAAATCGATGATTTTTAATGTCGAACATGCCAATTCCCAAAACATCCTCAATATTCAATATTCACTACGTCGATATATGCAGAAGATTAATTTACAACCGCAAAAAATAGGAACAAATCTGTGGCTTTTTCAGATCGACTATGATGTATCAAATACATAATCCTCGATTTTTGACATCGATCATACCGATTCATATAGAGAATCAATCCACAAACACAAAACATCGGGAAAATCATATATTATTCAGATTATATTGATTCATAAACAAAATCCTCAATTTTTAAAATCAATTATACGAATTCATATAGAGGATCGATTTCTCAATTCATAATTTGTAAAATAAAATAATATTGAAGGAGCAAATTCGAAATATATATATCAATAAATGTATATCTAAAATTATATTTTGTAAACGGTCAATCGTAGGTTAGTAATCCTATTCCTTTTTGTGTTGCAGCTTTCACAAATTTATTATCTTTTTTAAATTTATAATAAAATACCAAATATAAAAATGTAAATAACAAATATTCATATGCGTTTCAAATTCAAAAATATATATTTTTATATCTATCAAATTCGATCATATCTATCACCATACTAACCCACCAACCTAAGTAGAATCCAAACATATTTTCTAACGTAATACATATTTATATATATTAGAATTTCCTATATATAATTTAATAAATATAAAATATATTATATTATATATATATATATATTTATTATATGTATATAATATTATATATGTATTTATTTAATGTTAAATAATTCTATTCATTTAAAAACACCAACCAACAACAAAAAAAATCAAAAAATAAAATCTCACCCACCCATAACCCAACGCCATTTTAAACACGAACATTATATCACCCCGCTCCAAAAATAAAGCCCAAACCAAATACACAAAAAACAACAAAAATCTCGATCCAAACAACACAACTCAAAAAATAACAACAAACATCACCATATATCAAAAATGGAAATACATCTCCAAAATTACACTTTCCCAATACCTTTCCATATACACCAAATAATAATTTCTCTATAATTCAAATAAAATTCGAATTATAATTCCAAAATTTAAAATATATTTTTCATCCACCATACAAGCAAAAAATCGAAAAAATAACCCGCGTCCACCCGTATTTTCCCAAACCAAATGCTCGTATTAAATATATATCTTGTATATTTTCCAAAATATGAATTTAAATAATAATTATTCATTATATTCAAAATTAATCGGAATATATAATTTTAAAATCCTTTAAAGCCATTTGTTTTTTGTTCTATATAGTAATGTGGATGATTACTAAGAGCCGAAAACGGAGCTGTGGTCAAAATTACTGAGTGTTGGGGCGGGGGGGGAAACAACAACGGATCAAATTCACAGCTGTTCTAACTACGAACGACCCGTGGCTGTTCTAACTGCCCTTCTTTCTGCCACCAATCCACCCACCAACTTTGCTCGAAACTGCAGCCACGTTGCAGCGGGGGGGCGGGACTACAGGCGTTTGTAAGAATATCTACAACCAAAACCACGGGGCGTTTGTAAGAGTATCTACCAACAACAACAACAACAACCACAACGACAACGACAACAACAACATCGACAACCACAAGAAGCTGTCCAGCATTTCTTGCAATTGTTAATTGGATCACCCTCCAGGGCCCCTAACCCCTTTTTGCTGGACGTTGTTTCTTCGCTCACATCTGCTTCAGCCACTCGTGGACCTTCTCTGGGTCGCAGTAGAGCTCACGATCACCCCAGGTTACCTTGAGCGAACGCTGCGTGTATATACGTGCATGAGTCTGCATATGCGTAAGCATGGAATTTATTTATATGTGATGTATATATGTCTGTATGTGTATGTATATTTACGCGTATGTATGCATGCAGGCATTTACGTACGTACATACGTACGTACGTACGTACGTATTTATGTATGTATGTATGTATGTGTGTATGTGTGTGTATGTGTGTATGTGTGTATGTATGTATGTGTGCGTATGTATTTGTGTATGTATGTGTGTGTGTGTGTGTATGTGTATGTATGTATGTATGTATGTATGTATGTATGTATGTATGTATGTATGTGTGTGTGTATGTATGTATCTATCTATCTATGTATGTATGTATGTATGTATGTATGCGTGCGTGCGTGCGTGTATGTGTGTATGTGTGTATGTGCGTATGTGTGTATGTATGTATGTATGAATGTAATGTGATGTGATGTGATGTGATGTGATGTGATGTGATTTAATATAAAATAAAAAAATATAATGTAATGTAATGTAATGTAATGTAATGTAATGTATGTACATACGTATAAATATTCCCCCCTTTGCGAATTAAACAAACTACACACCCCAAGATAATTTGATGGTATTTGCAGTACTTTTGCGCGATGTCCACCCCGTTTTCAGGCACTTCAATTTTGAGCATTTAACAATGCCCGCACCTGCTGACATTTGACTGTGACTGTGTCCACCTAAAACGCTTTAAAGCGCTTCAAAGCACTTTTAGATCTAAGATTCAAGATTCTGCCAGGACTCTAGATCTTGAATCAAGATTCCCAATACTCTAGCTCTTGAATCTTGAATCCATGATCAAAGCGCTTTTCAGCGCTTCAAAGCGTTTTGGGGGCCCCACACTGGATTCAAGGTCTAGAGTCCTGGGAAGCTTGAATCTTAGATCCAAGAGCACTTTAAAGCGTCTGCTTTCAGTCATTCCTGTTTTGGGTGTGCACCTTCTAGTTGATAGTTCAGCATATTACATTGGATATGTTTTTTTTAAAATGGCTTAAGAAACTCCAGACCAGCAAAACACTGTAAATACCAGTGTTGCGCATGCTGTTTAGCAGGTTTTGCGCAGAACATATTTTGTTGTGGGACACTGGACACTAGTGGTTTTAGCAGACCGCGTGGCATTGGTCAGGGCATATGAGGTGTGAGCAAATGTTTTGGTATTGGTCAAGGTTTGTGAGCTGACAGACGCGGGGGATTTGCAAATGAGCTGACATGAAAGATGCAAGATGGAGAATGCGTAGCCGATGTTTTGGTATTGCCAAAGCTTTGTAAGTTGACAGACCAAGAGGATGGGCCCATCAGTTGAGATGAGAAATCGAAGATGTGTGTGCGAATCGGAAGAGGTATGGTTTGCCTTGTTTGATACACTTGTACCGGCACCCTAACACAGAAGGTTTACTGTCAATTGAGCAAGGACAACATTAGCGATGAAGACTATGCCAGAACAAAATTAATCTGGACACATTGAGAGAAGATCATGATTTTTATTTGACATCAGATGTGCTTTTTTCTTGGCTGGCATTTCTGAAAGCTTCAAAGAGATGTATGTATGACATATTATGGCCTAGCCCCTGTGTATATGACACTTTGCTTTTACGCTGTTCCAAACTTTGCCTATGATTCTAATTGCCCAACTGACTAGTGTTAAAATAGCCTGAGTGTATGACCATAATATTTATGATCTGATAGGACAAAGTATCAAGAGGGAGGAATACCACCGACAATTTGTTCAGAACGTAGAAGAGGAAATACTATCTATATGGGTGACAAAGTCTTAATGACTCAGCAGGCGCCGTTTTTTTTTTTTTTTTGGGGGGGGGTTGCATATGTACATATTAATATGTGTATATGGAAGTATATGGTTTTAGCATTTGACAAAACAGAGTACTATTTGAACAAATATAGTACGGTGCTATGCAGTTCTATGCGTATGTAACAGTCTGCACAAAGAGTTTATAGCAGATCCTCTGAGCTTCAAGCATGTCTTACAAACGGCGAGGTTCCTGATTACTTTTCAGGTGCAAAAGCTAAATCACTACTTCAATTAACTAAAGATGATGGATAAAAACAAAACAGAAGCACCAAAACATGCAAACAACATTGCTTTGATACAGACAAAGAAGAAGAAGAATAAACACGCAAAGAAAAAGAAGAAGAAGAATAAGAAGCAGGCAAAGTCTCATAATGAAAACAAGTCCTAATAACAAGAAATATGGTGCGACGAAGAACAATGAACAAAAGAAGAACAAGAAGAACACATGAAAGAACATGGAATAGAAGAACATAGAAGATGAATGCTCCAAGAAACCACAGTTCCATCTTGACAAATAGCTGCAAAAGCTCCATGAGACGCACCAATTCGTTGAACATTGATCAGTTGATCTTGGACATTGCTGCAATCGCCTCCATACCGAGGGTCGCCCCA